TAATTCCAGAAGCACTTACTATATTTCACTACTAGAAACATTAAATTCAAGCATTAAGATTATAGGGAATTCAAATTTTATGATATATAGTCAAAAATTGCACAAGTCAAAGATTCCAACGAGATCAAATATCTTGGCATGGTAAGTACAACTAAACTTTGAATCCTAACGAAGACAAATAAAGAACGAATGAATGTATGCAATCATGTATAGGTGAATGCATGTATGCATGTTTAAATAAAGGCCTATATATATACATATGTGCGTGTATGGATGAATGCCTAAATGTGCATGCATGTATAAATGTATGCCTGTTTGTTTGTATAAATAAATGCACAAATGAATGCATGAATATATAGACCCAGGGTATAATGACTTAGAAAATCAACAACAAAAATGACAACATGACGTTAACTAAGAACAATATAACCAAAGAATAAAGATCATGCATTTTTTTATAAGCCATTAAGATTAGGTTTAATCAAGTGATTGGAATCAATAGACAGGATTTAACCATGAGACAAGGAACAAGAGTCAAGGAACTAATCCCATCAAAAGACACATAAGATGATTTCAATAATGACAATTAGAACAAAAATCAAGAGCGATTACATTTAGGATAGCAAGATCAAGTACCTTTAGTAACTAGAATTAATTAACACAATTAATTAATCAATAGATGGAATCATGATACTTAGAAGATTAATATCTTTTTAATTAGGGAGTAGAGTAATCAAAACAGGTAGGGAAAAAGAACCATTCTCTTTTGAAGACTACAACTTCAAGCAATAATAATGGAGGCAAGGTATTTTTGCAATAATCCTTCTGAGGATCAAGTCAAAATCAAAGATATCAAGAATATAGAGATTAGCACTCAGCTGTCTATCAGTGACAAAAATCTAGATACATCTATAGATGTCTCTAGTAATCATCACCCCTCCAATAGAGGTATCCACATGAATCTCAAAATCTGAAAAATCAATAACTATAGATATTAAGAAGTAGAAACTAGTGTAGGATTCAGAATTTGAGTTGGAACAGATTCCCATTCCCGAACAAATTGTAGGAACAGAACAAGAGCAGTTTTTCAAGACCAAGTTAAGAAATAGATTCGAAGAACAAGTACCAGTGGAGCTTCAGTAATAAAACATTAACATATTTCAAGCATACTTCAAGAACTGATTTCATGAAATAATGCAATAAGCATGCATTTTTTAGTGGGTATCAAGATAACAAGGATTCCACCAATAATAATTTATATTTAGGTAATGAATCCTAGCAAGTTACGTTCTATAATTTTTTTTTTTTATGGTCCAAAAATGTTTTATTTACATTAAAGATTATTAATGTCATTACTGTACAAATTATTGTTTTAAATTTATTTGGTTAGCTTGTACTTACCATTTATAAAAATAAATTTGAAATTTGAACAAAAATTAAAATGATAGTCATAACTCATAAGGGCATTTTTGTTCATAAAATATAAATATTTATCTACAATCCCATGGTAACACCAACACATGGGATTAGATACCATATAGTCTAATACTGTCCAATTCAATTTAATCCAATCCTGTTATCTCTACCTCGTCCTATTCAATTCCATATTGCAATCCGAACATATATACCTGAATGTTTTTGAATGACTGAGAGTGAATAGCTAGCTGCAAACCCCACGCATATCGATTATCTTGTCTTTCAGTGAGGGTAGCTTCTGCATAGCAATGGAGCACTATATGTATTGGTTGGCATTGCCACGTTCTATTCCCTTGCTTTTCCTTTTTCCCTTTTTTTTTTTTTAAAACAAAAAAATTTCTTATTTGGTTTCAATCATTCCCATTCTCCCACACATTCGATGAATCCCCCTTGTCTTGTTTAAGATAAAGCTGATAACCAAAAGAGATACAAGATTGGGCGAAGTGGGGGCCATGGAATTTAGTCATTTGATGATCTGAAAATAGTTCAAATTAGCTGCATGTGCTGGAAGGTAATCTTTATAAATTCTAAAAGCATGGTTCATAACAAAAGAAAGCTACTCATTACCCGTCATCAAACCCACATGTGGCTACCATTAACCTATTTTTTCTGTGGGACCTTCCTGATCCTCAGATTTCAGGCACTTGAGATTTCTGTTTTCCCATCTGTGGTTTCAATTATATTGCAGTCAAATGACAAGACAAAGTTCAGGTTCTTGACTTTCCATTTCCAAATACATAGATAAACACATGGGAGTAGATGTATATTTGGGCTTAAATCACTAAAAAGCTAAAGAATCCAGTGATAATTTCTTTCTAATAAGAATAAGTGATTTTGATTTCAAGTCATGACATATAAGTATCATTATCATCTGACTTAATTTGGTCTGAATATGAAATTTTGACAGCATGTGTGTGCAGTGTGTTATGGACGTACGTTCACAAGCACACAGTTGCAAAACTAGGATTTGAGATGAGACTAGAAAAAACTCTTGTTAAGTATCAGCACTATATTAATTAATCTAATTTTCTCTAACAACTTTGAAATTTAAGAAGAAAAAAACTTGGTTAAATCAATTCTAAATTAATTAAACTTGTAGAAATTAATTCTAAATGGTAAACAATTGCCAATGATACAATTTTCACCAACTCAATCATCTTCAAACTTCTCTTGTTAAATATTTTTTTCTCAATTTATTAATTCCCAAATGACAGTAAAAAAATTCATATATTTATTACTAATCTTTCTCAAGATCCAATAATAGTTGTCTCAATTCAATATTCTTACATAAATCAAAATAAGTAAAAGCATTATTAAGCCTTATATTTTTATTTTTAAACTGCATAGATATTTTATGAATATATTCCTATCTCATGTAACGTGTGTTATTCTATTCAATGACTCAACTAAAACATTTTCTTTCATAAGATAGATGTTATCCAAACAATTAATTGAGTGATCAATTTAACTAGAAGCAATAAGTACAAAATAGAATAATGCTTGAATAAAGAGTATATTGAAATTGAATACAATCAAAAACTTGAAGATTCATGGTTTGTTTACAGTTGGAACCCTAGAAAAAAATAACGTAGTTCATAATTAAATGTACAAAAACCAATTGCCAAGAAAATCTCTTTTTCAATAAAAATAAGAAAGAATCCAAAATTGATCAATCGTTAAAGAATCCCTCTTCTTTGCTGTAAATCCTCCTCCTTATCAAAAAGCCACCGCCCTCTTCTTTTTCTCTCCCTATTCTCTTCAAACCCTATTGGCTCCCCTCCCTTCTTGCCAAATTTGCATGCCCCATTTAATATCTTTGATTTCTTTCACATAATTGAATAGATTTGGAAGGATTTGAAAAGATTTGGGTGAATAAATTTTGGAAAGGAGTTGGTACAATCCCTTGCTGCTTTAGACACCCCGAAAAGGATCCAAAATTCCCAATTTGTGTTCCAAAATGCTCAAAACGGTGCGCTGAATATTGCCAAAGAGGTCGATACCCTTAAAGAGGTACCGACGCTGTCACCAAGTTTCTAAGTAAAATGTCTGCGTCGAGCTTTTGGGCATTCACGCACATTTTCATTCTTCATTGGTAATACAATTTGGATCTCTCATCTTTTAAAAGTTGATACTTTGATCTTCATAGTTCAGATTTCTTCAGTTTGGTCTTAAAAATTCTAATTTCTTACAATTTAGTCCTTAGACAAAAATATTAAAAATATGCAAAATCAAATAAAATAAGACTCAAACAACTCAAAGAACTAAAATTTAAGATTACAAGGCATGTAAAAATTGTAAAAAATTTAGACTTATCAATGCAAAACTAACTAAAAATAACTTAAAATTGTGTAAAATATCTTAAATTAGCACAAAACATCAGTTTGCGATAGATTATGGTAGAATTTTGCATTTTCAGTTGACTTGAAGTGATTTTGATCCAAATTGTGAAATTTGATTCAAATGATCTCAAATAAATTGTTATTGGACTCGAACAACATTTACTAAACTTTTACAATCCTCTAAGCTTCAATTTATTTGTTGTGCATTGCTTTTATCCCAACTCTCCTAAATAAGCCCATTTACAATTTCTAGTATCTTCTTAGGTCTAAAACTCATTATCGTATGGATAAATTGACATTGTATATGTACTGTAATTTTGATTTCCATTGCCAATTTCCCACATATGCACACACACGTGTATATATAAAAAGTAATGTATATCAACCTGACTGCCATAAAAATATAAAACTTCGAAAACACATCTTCAAAGAATATTTTCAAAAACTAGCTGTTAGATTTAATAATCTATATAGATTGATATAGATCATGCATATCAATTTCTAAATTAATTTAACATCTACAATCATTTGATTAAGAAACTTGAATTTTCTACTATATATTTAATAGTAATAAAATTTTTATAATTAATGAATTATTTATATATATTCAATCAATTTGAAAATTGATATGTATGATCTTTATAAATTACAAACTAAATCCAATGGTTGATTTTGAATATATTCATTAGAAAATGATGTTTTTGAAATTAAAATTTCAATTTTTTTGGTAAGAGTTAGAATTGTTATGCACTATATATAGTGAGATATTATATAAACATAATATTATCCAGCGAAAAAAGGCCCTCAAGGGAGTGATTCAATTGGTTAAAAATTTGAAATTCTAAGTTGGAGATCTTAAGCTGAAAATTTTAAATTTGAATCTTAAATTAGAAGAAATGGAGAGAACTATTTTTTCTTATATAATTTCTTATCATCAGATATAAATATATATATATATATATATATATATATCTGGTGAAATAAAGTGCCTTGATTCATGCTTGCTTTGTCTACTTATCACGCAAACAACTTTGCACTTTTAACTTAGTGGCATGTCAAAGAAGAGGCAACCATATATTGCTGGGCCAGGCTTGATGATTTATGATAGTCAAAAATAACTTAGCACCCACATAATTAAAGGAAAAGTAGATTATACATAGGGTCAATAGTCAGTACTACCCTAGAATCCAAGGAAACATAGTGTTTTTTGCCCCCCACCATCTCTAACACAAGCTCTGGATTTCACAGTCTGCCCTGTTTCCTTTCCACATAAAGTGGGTCACTCCAAATTAAAATATCACTCTTACATAATGTAAATGTTACCCACAATTGAAACTGATCATTATATTAAAGCTATCTTCTCAGCAATCCCTCAATCATTTTAAACTCACGAGGTAAAAGAACCTATCTTTGCTGTCTCACAAGCTCCAGAACATGTCCATGTCCATCACAACTACTGGAGATACACTGCTGAGGAAATCATTCCATCGAAGGAATGATTCCGCTGAGCTCGACGTATTTGAGGCTGCACGCTATTTTGCAGGCTACAACGAATCTGTACAGCCGTGGAGAGGAGGGAGAGTCAGCTTTGGCATGCCTGACATCATCCCCCAGCAAACTCATGTAGAGGAAAAGCATAGCATGAAAGAAAAGAAATACAAGCAACCCAGCTCTCCCGGTGGTAGACTTGCCAGTTTTCTGAATTCTCTTTTCAATCAAGCAAGTTCTAGAAAGAAGAAATCCAAATCCATTAAAGAGGAAGAGGAGAGCCCTGGCGGGAGGAGGAGAAGGAGGAGTAGCATCAGCCATTTTCGTATTTCAAGCACAACGTCAGCGGGGACCAAGTCCCTGTATTCTTCTTCAAGTTCAGGTTTTAGGACACCTCCTCCTTATGCCCAAAGGCCCACAAAATGCTACAAGGATTTGAGAAGCTATTCAGATCACAAGCAAGCAAAACCTACAAATTTTCAAAATGAGAAACTCAAGTTGAATGAAGGGTACAAGGGGAAACACAAGAGTGTCGGGATTTGGGTGGATCAATATCCATCAGAAGTGGGAGAAAATCTCAAGTTCAAAAAGTTTGATGATGATGATGATGATGATGATGATGATGATGATGCAGATACTGATTCGAGCTCTGATCTGTTCGAGCTGCAAAACTATGACTTGGGTATCTACTCAAGTGGTGGTTTGCCAGTGTATGAGACTACGCGCATCGACGATATAAGGAGAGGAGCACCAATCTCCAGGGCTCCTCTATGACAGTATTGTTGTTCCTGTTTGTTCGGTCTAATTACTGTGATCCGAAAAGAGAATTTCCTTATGGCTCTTCACCCTACGTATGTGCAGTTTGGATTAATACGGTTAAGTTTGCAATTTTCCTTTCTACAATTTTTTTTTTTTTGGCACGCGTGCTTGCATGGATTGTGGCCTTTTTTTTTTTTTTCTTCTTTTGCGTAGATTATGCCTTGATGCGTGGATTTAGTTTCTACTAAATTAATGCATAATATATATATATATAATGACATTTGAGATGGGTTGTGGCTGTGGCTATGTTCATCATTTTGTTAAAATCAGCGTAATGTTGTTTAAAAAGGAGAGATCACAATAAGGACATCATTTTTTAACTAATTAAGATTATCATTTTTCAAAAATCTCTAATAAAATATCTTACATTTTTAATTTTACTATTCAAGAGTTAATTGAATTTTGCAGTTGAGTTGACAAACTGGTTTTATATGTGAGACCCACTAAATTACTGGCATGTAAAAAAATGACAGCAGCTGTTGACTTGGAATTCATTTGAACAGTGAGGCATAAGTGTCAACACTATAATATAGGTATTAACACTTATGTATCAAATTCCATGCCTTCCATTTGCCAAATTCTTAACATATGGTGTTGACACTGAAAATAGTGGTATCGGTACCCAACCCATGTTAGGGATCCTTTTACCTTAAGCTCTTTTTAACAAAAAAATGAAAAGTACATAATGTCATAACCCAATTTTATCAAGAGCTAAATGATAAAATTAGAAGTCTATCAACTATTTTTGTAAAAGCACAAAACTTAAAGAGCTAAGGGAAGGAATTAGCAAAACGAAGTTGTTTTGATTGTAGGTTGGAATAAAAATAAAGGTTGGAACCCTAGCCACCCAAATCCCATTGCTTTCTTTGCTCTGCCACCAACCCCTCTCAAAATAGAAAAAAAAATCACAAAATTTTCTTGGATTATCCCTAAATCTACTCAAGTTTTAAAGAATTTTCGTAGATTGAAAGTCATCATCAAGAGGCGTAGAAGAAGAGTCGAAATTGATTCAAAGTGGGGAGTTCTAAGTATAAAAGGTCTGAATCTAGACTTGAAAAGGGGTAGATGTAGGAAAAACTAAGAAATCCCATTCTAAATAGGATTGGGTTGTTATCTTAAGGATTTGGATTGGATATTAGAAGCACATTAGGATTGGGTTTTCCCTTTGTCTATTAAAAGGGGGCTTTGGCCAACAAGGGGAGCAACGAAAATTAGAGAGATTGAGAGGGAGAAAGAGAGCAAATATTCAAAGAAAGTACAGAAAATTGAGAAGGAAATTTAGGGAAAAAGTGGGTAGCCATTGAAGGGGAAGAAGGGGAAATGCAAAAGCTTGTATCTGGAACTCCAAGAAAATAAAGTTTGATTTTTCCTATCTTCTTCAGGTGTGCATTGTTCATAATTTGTTTTCCCTTCTATCTTTTTTGGTCATATATTAATCCTTAAGTTGTTGGTTTGGATTTATCTATAATTTTTTGTGAATTTTCTTCTGACCATAATAATAGGAATTTGTTATCAAGATTTATGTGTTTGAAGTGGTTCTATTATTTCATGGATAAGACTAAGATCTAATATAAAATATAGGATGAAATTTGTTTTCATGGTTACATGTAGGAGACCGAAACTCTCTTAGGAAATATG